TGTAAGTAATCAAACCATTTTCGAATCTTTGCTTAAATAAACAAACTGCCAGACCTTCTCGAGTATAAAAAAAATAAATGGTAAAAGCAGTAAAAATAAATATAAATTCAATTTCTTAATTGTTAAATAAGAAAAGAAAACCTAAATACATTTCTATCACAACAAGAAAACAACGAATAGTCGTTTTCAATAAATAGTTATTCTTCTATTTAATATATTACTATAGTTAAATTAAATAATTATAATTATGGACTGCTTAGTTGAGGAAACAAAAAACTATTCTAAAAAACTTTAAACCAAACCCAATTATGACTGTTGCATTCGGTAAAATTTGTCTTACCATTAGCGACTGCCTTTCCGTTGGAACAATGAGTCAAAACATAACGAGTCATTTTGAGTGTTTCTAAGAGTGTGGGGAAAGTAAACACACCACCCCAGTGGGACAAACAACAAGCAGATTCCGAATTCCAGCAGACCGGATAGACCCAGATGAAATACAAGACCAGCAAGGATGTCCAAGTATCGTACTAATTCATCCTTGTGCAAGAAGAAGGCAGAAACAGTTCGATGAGGTGGAAGCCAAACTTCGCAGCTGATGAAGCCGAAACCCTGCTGATGGGGCCGGAACCCACATGCGGCACCAGCCAAGAATCATCCAGGAAAAAACTAATTGACTGGACAGAACTATAACACAAACAATACTGGGAAAGCCTGTCTGGTCTGGAGCATTCGAAAGCACTTTTGGACAATCCATCTGCTGAAGGGCAGAAACCAATGAGGACATATACCAGGACCCAACTAAAAAAAGCATTAGGCCTTCTCACAGGCCATGCTCCATTCAAAAAACATCTTCACAAAATGGGGATGACAGATGACCCTTTGTGTAGAGGATGCGAAGAAGAAGAGGAAACACCTCTTCACATTATGTGTCAATGTGAGGGATTCAACACCTTAAGAAGAACACACCTGGGAGAGTCTAAACTCACACCAGAACTTTTAAAATTGCTTCCACTGCCTCGGCTACTGCGCTTCATAGAAGCAACGGAGCTAGAGCTATGGAAGTAATACCATTTAGGGCACAATAGGATTGCGAAAGCAAACCGCAGTGCAGGGCTCTGAACCACCTAACGGGGGAGTTTTAGTGGGTATACGTCAATAGACGGAGTCCCACACTACTCGGGGCCCCAAGAGGAACCGAGTGTTCGTAAAGAATTTCTCCGCCGGCCAAAGAAAAAAAAAAAAAAATCGTACTAATAACCCATGAGGGGGAGTCCGGATTGTACTTAGTTATGGGTCAGTTCAAGGCCCCCAAAAACCAACTGTTGTCCATCCTTCTCCTATACTCGCCCGGCGACAAAATTCCGGGAATGGCCTTTACCATCGACACTGCTATCCACGACCTCCTAGGAAAGATTACCTGCCGGGGTAAAAATTCAGATCCACCAAACACAGGTGTGGCGGGATACGTATAGAACCGAAAGGGGGTAAAATAAACCTGGAAGATCAGTGTAAGGCGTAGCCGATGGGGCCTGCCATACGTTCTTATACTCATACTCATACATTAAACGAATCTGGTACTAGTTTTACTCAATTTTAGTACGATTACTTTTTACATAATCTTTTTAATTTCAGTAAAATTCTACAAAATTTTATCCGATTTTATAAAATATTATACAATAAAAAGTTTTCCTTTAGTACAGCTAATCGCGTAGAAATTCGTTTAAGAATTATTTTTACGACAAATAAAATTCGTAGTTACGCATACGTTGTCTTGAGTATTAGATGCAGACCTTTCCTCTACACCAATTATCCTTTTCAAATAAGTTAAATGTATTTATCTACTTCTCCATTGACGAGCTGTGACTTTATGGTGCTTTGGTCACGGGCTCAAGTTGGCAATAAGTAGTGCCTTTTGGGCATTTTAGTCACGGGCTGAAATTAGCTTTATTATATCGCTGTGTCTAGTCTCACGCTAGCGTGAACGCAATTTTATTCTTATTCTCACGCGGTGACGTCACTAATTATAATCCGTTTTTGTTCCCAGAGCGTTTAATATTTGACAACAACTTGTTGCCATCTAGCTTGTTGTCAACAAGCTAGATGGCTCCGATGGTAGGGCGGGCGCTTGGCATGCGAGAGGTCCCGGGTTCGATTCTAAGAACTTTTTTATTTTTTTATTTCATAAATTTGTTGTTTCTTTGTTAAACAGTGTTCGGTTTGGTTGGGTTGGTTAATTTGTTTTAGTTTTATCGTAACATAAAATCTACCAGAAGTAGTCGAACTTTTTTTATTTCATAAATTTGTTGTTCCTTTGTCTAAGTGTTTTATTTTTATCGTAACATAAATTTGCCCATTTTAGTTGGGTTTTTTGCTCAATGGGGCGGGGGGGGGGGCAATGGGGCGGGGTCGGTTGGGTTGTGTTGTTGAGTTTGGGTTGGTTTGGCTGCAGTAAAAGAGTCTCGATTTTATTATTAGTAAATTAATTTATTACATTTGCATAATCAAATCAAATGACATAATCAAATAATAATCAAATCAAATGACACGACACCTAAAAAGTAAAATTAAATAAAATAATGCGTGAGAATAAAATTAAAATTATTTTGACTTTAGCGTGAGAATAAAAATTAAATTGCGTTCACGCTAGCGTGAGACTAGACACAGCGTTATTATATATAAGAAATAAAGTGAGGTTAATTCCGTTGACATTTGACAGATGTCAAATGTTTAACAAATATAATTAATTATATTTGTTAAACAATTGGCTTTAAATAAATAAAATGGCGTTTATAAAACTTGATACATAATACATGTATAGTATATGCATATACTATTACTATATAAAAGATGCCACAGACGATGGGTGATTGACCTACTTCAAACTTTAACTTTGCGACACGAAATCTGTGAAGTGCGACTTCTGCCTTCTGTGGTCAAATAACTAAATCATACTTTAGTGCGCATGCGTAACTACAAATGTCAGTGTTACGTCAAGATGTTTACGTCATATTTATGTCATATTTATTACGCCAGAGTCTGACGTAAGGAAGTGTGAAATAATGACTCTTATGACTCAGGTGTGACCTATATCTTACGTAAGCGTGACCTGACATGACGTCATATTTACGTCATATTTACGTAATTGTGTTTACTGGGTACAGCCCACGAGAGCCAAAGTATTCCTAACGGATAATAATCTTCGCTTTGAAAAGAATTTATATAAAAAAAAATTAAAATTTTATGTGAACACACGTAAATGTTGGACTCCAATGGTGAATGGGTATTTTGTTAAAGCCACTGGACGTTAATACTTGTAGTGGCTGAACAATAATTAAAATGTATACATACATTGTTCAGGACTATTAATGATCAGTAACTTGCAAATTGAAAGAAGAAAAAGTTTCGTGATTATCTTTTTCAAACCATCCATATGGATGCTATTTTCAAAGACAGGAAAATTAACTACTAGATTTTTCACAAAAATGTTTATTTTTTGTCTTTTTATTTCCCCCTTATTTTTTAAAATAAAAATTTTTTTGATCTACTTAGCTAAAAATAATGTGTGATTTAAAATTTGCAAAACCAAATACGTTACTTTTTTACTCCAAAAATGTCCATATATGGACTTTATAAGGCGATGTACTTTTTCTGCCATTTGGCATAACTTTATCGAAATGAAGTTATGCCCTTAAAAGTTCTTTTAATTTAGAAACTGATATTATTTTTGACATGGTTATCTTTTTATATCGATACCTATTATATAATAATTAACAAGTAAATTATCGTAAGTAATATCATAAGGGCATTTCATTTTTCCGAAAAGAATCGAAAAAACACGTTGCTAAGTGATACAGGTGCTGTCACACAGTTTTTTCCACCTAGAAACCATTAATTAAAAATTTTTAATTCAAAATTGCGCGTTTGTGATTGGTGGAAATTAAGACGAGGGAAATGGTCAATAATAAATATTACTGTCAATTTGAGTATTTAATGAAGGTCTTCAGCAGAAGTACCATTTTTAAATACTAAAAATACTAAATAAAACTACCAAATTAATAAAAAACACGAGTCCAAATTTAAAAAAAATGAACTGTATGTACGAATCTGGTTAACGTTTATTAGCCGAATATTTATTCGACTCGGACAACTTGGTATTTTCGTTAGGTTTAGAGGTTGCTGCATTAATTTCATCAAAATTTCTTTGGTGTTGGCCATCCTCCTCAGGGATATTTTCACCTGGAAAATTTTTAATAATCAGTTCTAGGCAACATATTTTTTGATACCAACGTTAACACTATAATACTGTCAATATACTGTCAGCATTGTAATATTGACAATCCATAAGCAAATCTTGGATACTTACCGCTATCAGATTAACTCACAAATTGTTAGTCACAATCGCAGACGTAGAGGTAGTGGCAAAGTCACTAATAATAGAATAGATAATAGATAACAGATGTTTGTAATTGAAACTCATTTTAAAAATTCTCTTAATTATTAAAATAACACCGTTTTAGTCAGTCCCTTGCGGCCTTGAGTTCACGGTTTATTCACCGTGAATTCACCGGTTTGTGACATTTGTAAACGGTAGTTAGACAGTGAATTCACGCACTTTTCACAGACGGTTTATTTACGGTGAATTCACGGTGAATAAACCGGCTAAATAAAATACACCTAAAAAACATGTTTTTAAAAAACACAGCCTTTTTATCCCAGAAAAAAGTTTGAAAATTGTAAGCATAGGTATTTTTAATTTATTTTATTTTACTCATGTAATAAATAAAGATAATAAAAATAGAAATCCTAAATATATATATTATAATTGTATTATTTAAAAGAAACAATATTAAATTATTATTAATACCTAATTTAAATAACTGCAAAAGTATTGTAAACAAATACATAATTAAGAAATAACGTTTGATGCGTGCGTTTTTAAAGTCTTGCGCCAAAACGTGCATTGAGTTGTTATTGGTCACCTCAAATTTACCGATAGAGGTCCGCCATGGCCCCCAGTATGTTTGTAAACTGGGGTTTTCTATAATTTTACCAAAAAGTTAAAGATTCAGCTTATTATTTATATAAAAACAACACTTTAATCAACGGAATAGTGCAATATACTTTAGGAAGAATTTTTTTTATTTTATGTGTTTATGTTTGAGTGTCATAGGGGTTAGGTTTACCCTTGCAACCTTATTGAATTTAAATGAACACAGTGTCATTATAAAGACAAATGCAGCATGTAGTTAATTGGAGTGAATGTTTTTTATATTTATAAATTACATTTAAATCGTGAGTACTTTTAATGTCACAATTTATGTTTACCTGACCTACTAACTTAAGGGATGTTTTTCTTCAATTGCCATGCATTTCTAACATATTATTACCTATTCAAGATAAAATATTTCTCAATAAACCTCTGTGAAAATACTGTTTACATATCTACATAGATAAATGAAAGTTAATCTTTTTGATATACTGCACGAGAAAAAGTTGGGTGTCCACATAAAACAAGACATTTCACATACAAAATTAAATAAAAAATATTATTTAACTTCTTAATATTACACTGTGTTATATTTGGTATCATTAAAATGTTATACCTATTTAAGCTTGGTAAACATTATAAATATTGATGAATTAAAGAAAATAATAAAGTTTTCTGTGAGATAGGTATTTGCTTTTAAATTGGACAGAATTCTGCATCCCCTAACAATTTTAAAATCTACTTTAATTTATGTGTTGTTTTCAGAGAGTTATTATAAAATATATCGTTTATGGTTATGGTTTCTTAATGGTTTTTCCTACTCCTGCATAATCCTGTATTTTCCAAAAACTCATATACCAGACTCCTAATGAAAAATACTATTTTAAACCACAAATTGTTCTCTAATAAAACGTAATTTTTTTTTAGATGCCACCGACTGACTTTTTTATATCTATATGGAAATAACATGAATATGACTGAATGATAATATTGAACCACCAACAATGCAAAGCATGGAGGCAGTATGTGAGGAGGCCGAAGTAAGATATATATAAACATGCCTACCTACCTAATTAAAACTTACCATAATTTAAAAATTTTTAGCATACAGTTAAAAAATTAAAAACTAACAGGCCGTCCATAAGTTTGCAAAAAAAGGACTCTTCATCTGAAGTTTTTGATAACTGTGAAACTCAACAAACATCCATATTCACCAAGCTTCACAAACTTCATGAAGAATATGCAGAAAAATCCAATGGAACAGTAAATATACCTTTATTCAACACCCACTTCATTTATTAAATTCAACTGGTGGGAGAAATACCATTTTGCCCACAGGCTGAAGTTAATATATATGAGTATATAAGTTAAAATTGCAAAGAAGTGAGGTTGTCATATGTCATATATCAAATAAAATATCAAATAAAATTGGATCCTTGCCGCTCTTAAATAAAATATTGTGTGTGACTACTAGTCAAAAGAGGAGATTCCACTCGCGTGCTACAGTAACACTGCTACCGCACTTCAGGCTCAAGGAATCTCCTCCTTTCTCTATTTGCACAATATAACATTTTTGTGTATCCTAACTTTTTTTTTAAATAAATAAGAATTTTGACATACATAGTAAAAATCAAAGCAAATTTAAACTTTCAAATTTTCACACTGCATTGCTAGAAAACATTAAATTAATATTTTATGATGGTAGTGTTATTTTAATTATAACTTTTTTAGTGAGTTAAAATGTAAAATTGATTTTTATTTTTATCAGGTATTTTAATATTTTTCTAAAGTCAAGACGCGTGGTTCAAAAATAATAAGTTTAAATTTGTAATGTGCTTAATATACTATCAATAGTAATAATAGTACAATCAATCTGTAAAAAAAAAATTTGAAAAAATCGACCATATGATCATATAGTCATTTTATTGCATGAATCGATTTGGGGTTAAGCTTTCCTTATAAGCCTTAAACGATTCATGGAAAAAAGTGACCATGGTTAATTTTTTCCATAAACAGCCTTTTTTTTGACAGATTGACTATAAGTACTATCCCTAACAAAAAAAACTCATACAGCTTAAAAATCTAGTCCTGATTTTCTATCATTTCGTTGGAGTAATTATGGCTTTTAACATGATACGTCACATTTGAAAGGTCTAAAATTAAATACAAAGTTAGGTTGAAGTTTGAAAAAAAATTTAATATTTCGTCATCCCTCTGTTTTTGTCAATTACTGCCCGCAAACGGCAAAGCATGGAAGTCGCCGTCTTGCTTTATCACGTTCCAAATGGCTTCAATGGCTTGCCAGAGTTTGTCTGCATTGTTTGGTTAAAAATGTTGTTAAAAAAGTCATAATGGATGTGACAAAGCTCGATGTCAGCTTGACATTGACGGAAAAGTTTTATTCACACAGCCACAATATAGCTGTATGAGTTTTTTTTGTTAGCGATAGTATCTAAAATATAATCGAGTTTTCATCGATTTATTTTTAATCCAATTAAAAACCCAGAGACAAATTTTAAGGGTGTATTCTACGCCTAAAAACAATGAAAAAAAATTAAATGTTGTTATCCGATTTCTAATTGTTTTCGAGATACAAGGTTTTTAACATTCCCTACCGACAATGAAATTATCGTTTGTGTCGTCAATGTATTTTAATTATTTAAGTCAAAATTTTTATTGCAGCAAAATAATTCTACATCAAAATGCAAATATATTCATTCAAAGTTCTGAATGAAGTTTATGCAGTGTAGACAGTAATTTAGCGTTTATTCTTGAAGGTTTTAAAATTTTAAAATTTTTTGTTTTCATTTAAAGGTCTGATTGCCATACACTTATTTAAATCCTGAATACTCCAATATTGGATGAAAACTTCATTTAAAAATTAAAAATAATTCTGGTAATTTTTTTCCGAAAACAGCTTTTTTTGACAAAGTGACTATAATATTAAAAATATAAAATCAATTATATGATTTTTCGACAACCTTTTTGAAAATAGATCTTTTAACACCTTATCAGACGCACTGTGTCGCCAATTTATGGCTAAATTTAATGCTCATCAACTCAAAAACTATCTGTTCTAATAAAAATAACTATAAAAAGATTTGCGTAAAATTGAAAAATGTTAAACTGTTTCTTATTTTTTAGCGACTAAAGCAAAATTCCCACCTGTTAGATAAACTAGTAGCGAGAGAAAGACTGAACACATTAATTCTAAACCTGTATCCTGGCAACAGAGGTTACTCACTGGCATTTAGGACCGCACCACAATCAGATAACCCAGACAATACTGCCGAAATAATACAAATAAAAGAGTGGCCCTATGAAATGGATGAGTTTCTTATGTATATTAACAATGAAGAGCTTCCTCCGTTTCTGTTGGAATTGCTTGAACAGGACTTTAGTTACCTATTCTACAACGGATGCATCATTGCTGAAGTCAGAAACTATCGACAAGCTTATCCTAATACCAAGTGTGAAATTCATCATGTCTTGCTACGGCCCACTCTAAGGGTAAGTAAATAAAACTTTTCTTAAATGATCTAGGTATAAAAAATACACAACTATTAAGTTAAATTTGATGTTTGCAAAAATAATAACATAATACAATAATAATAATATAATTGTGTAACCTGTTGGAACATTTTGTTTAATTTACTTTATTGTTGTCAACACTTGACACTGAAGTAATTAATTATGGCATGGGGACCCGTGTCTTTTGTATCTAAAGACAAACATAGGAAGAAAGCTTCTTATAAACATAGGCTGGCAAATGGCCCCTAAGGGAGCTACAGCCTCTTAAAGGGCGACTCTGAAGATGGTATTTACCTATTATTTCCAAAACGGTTTTGAGATAATATATAACTTGGTTTGCTTACTTAACTTTTTATGCTGAATTTAAACAAAAACAATAGGTATTTCATTTTTTAGGAGTGTTCTAAACAGGACGGCATAGGGTATTTTTAGCCCCAACTGTGCAAATATAAAAATTTGGAATTTTCTACGTAAAAAAGGTACTTTTGTTGAACATCAATAAAATGCACCATTTTTTGAATATACCTAAATTAAATGAGAAATTTAAAACAAAAATCTTTTTTAAAGTAATATACAGAGTGAGTAAAAAATTTCAAGAGTGTATTCTACGCATAAAATCATTTAAAAATAATAATATAATAATTTAAAAAAATTCCTTTACAATAATTACTATATTCTAATTATTGTTTTCTAATATCGAGCAACACTTTGAAAGGTGTCAAGTTGACAGGTGACAGATGACAGGTAACATATGACAAAGAAAACTTCAAAAACCATGTGCCAGGTTGGATCAAATTTCCCAAATTTTATATAATTTTTTTTTCCTCCATTTATTTTTAATACAATTTAAAACCCAGAGAAAAATTTCAAGGGTGTATTTATGCATAAAAATAATGAAAAAAAATTAAATGTTTGTATTGTTTTCGAGATACTCACAATGTTTTAAAACATTCCTTTTTCTTTCAAAGTTCTAAATCAAGTTTAAGCAGTATAGACAGTGATTTGACGTTTATTCTTGAATGTTTTAAAAATCTTTTTTTCTTTCCAGTTGAAGTTCTAAATGCCACACACTTATTTAAATCTTAAATATACCAAAATTGGATCATTCAGTAGTAGCAGTATGTAAATTTATTGGGAAACCAAAAGGCTACTGAATAAGGTCTTTCTGCCTATCTAAATTCAATAAAAAAATTTACAGATATTTTTATATAAATTTTGAACTGTATAAGCTTAAATATATTAAAAAACAGAATTATTAATGTTAATCTAAAGTCTCTAAAATAACTTTCCACAGGGATTTCACTGGAAATTTCCTTTTTCTCGGGGTCCCTTCTATTTCAGGAAAAATAAAGGGTTCAATAAGTTCCAGATTAGCACTAGTTTTGCAGAATTTTTCAGAGAGGTTAACTATTCTTTCCATAATGGGTGTCAAGTTGGTAATTTCATACAAAAGTAGATTTGAGTGGTTAAATAAGGGTGGGTGGGTGTTTGTCTAAGTTTGGTTAGATGTCAAAGGCTTCTCGTTTCTGTTATCTCCAGATTTTTTAGGGAAGGTCTTCTGCAGGTTTGAAATATTATGGAACCATAGTCCAATAGTGGCCGACAGATCATTTTGTATATGTGGGTAGCTGTTTTGGTGGATATTAATGACCTTTTGTTTAATGGTTCGCGTGTGGCAATTGAAATTTAGTTTGGAATCAATGTTCATTCCTAGATATTTAATGTTGTTTGATGGGGATATATGTTGCTATTCCATTGAGATTTGTGGAGAGTCATCTTTAATTTTGTGGTTAAAAATAATAAATTGAGATTTTTGGGCATTGATTTTTATTCTCCACTTTGAGAACCAATTGGAAATCATGTTAAATGACAATTGAATGTTATTGAGAGCTGTTGAAAGGTATTTGTTGAGGGCTATTAAGGCGGTATCATCTGCGTATTGTAGGATGTATGTTTTTGGGGCAAATAGTTGATATCTATTTTATAATAAACATAGAAGTTGTAGAGAGTTAGAGAAAGTGGAACTCCTTGTGCCATCAAAAAGGTGGTGGTTATATATTGGTTAATTTTTATTTTAAGTGGACGGTTTTCCAAAAACTCTTTAATTAACCACATTAAATATTCTGGACAGTCCAGAAGGTAGAGTTTATATAGCAAGGCCTCTATGCCACACACTATCAAAGGCTAGAATGCTGCTGAGTTATGTCCTATAGTGCTGTGGTGATGCAGATTTGATACCAGGGTGATTAGCGGATGTATTGTAGAATGTTTTTCTTTAAAACCAAATTGATACTGCTGTATCTTATTGCCAATTGCCAAGTACCTAGGTGGTTTTTAATAATTTTTTCAAAGTTTTTGCCTAGCACCGGCAGAAGAGTAATTGGTCTATAATCACTTGTTGATGAGGCAGAGGTGGTATAATAATACCCTCTTTCCAAATTGTATGGTGCTTTAAGCAGTAAATTTTTAAGATGTGTTCATGAATTTCTGGTAAAAGATTTCTTAGGAGTTTTCTATTCACATTGTCGTGTCCTGGGGCGGAATTTTTTCCCTCTTGTAGAACTTATGTATAATATTCTTCTTCTCTGATGGTAGGCGGTGTTAAATTGGTGTTTTGTGCATTAAAAAATTCGTTGTACCAGACATTAATGTGGTTAAGATTCCTAATGTTAAATTTGTGGTCATCTAAAAATGAATAGCTTTTTTGGAAATATTTTAAAAGCTGTGGCTACATCTTCATCTGATGTAAGTATTTGGCTTCAAGTAATTCTTTCCCCTTAAGTCATTAATGCTTTTACAAGTCTCAAGTCATTTATGAGTTTTGTACTGGGCGACCATAATGTGGACTTAAGAGTCTTCAATTGTGGATTACTATTTTTCCCTGTACAGTTTTCTTTTCGTTTTTAACATAGCAAGTATGTAAGGTAGAAGCTTGTAATTAAAATACGTTCTTTTTACTCTGGGTGTATAGTTTATAACGCTCTTTTCCAGTAGTATAAGAAAACTATTAAATAGTTCCTTGTTTACATTTTCAAAGTTACATCTATGTAAATTCAGGAAGTATTCCTAATTTGAAGTTGATGACTAATAATTTCAAATTGGATGGCTAAATGATAGGAACATAAGTCGGGGAGAACTTATACGTTTTTTATATTGTTTGCCATGTTTTTTGTACAGAGAAGGATATCTGGTGTAGTATCAGGGTTATTAGCCATTATAAAAGTAGGAGTTTGTATTTTTTTAAATTGGATTTATTTAAGAAATAAGCTAATTGTTTCTTCTTCTGCAGATTTACATTAAAATCACCAATTATTATGGCATATTTACACAGCGAGGCTTTAACAAAGATTGTATCTTCAATTTCGCAATGTGGGTGTATACCAAAAAAAACATGCAGTAACTGCATTGCAGTTTATCTGCAAAGAAGGGAAAGGAAACATGAAGAGTTTCATTTAGTGGATTGTTAATTGTTGGTGGGTTTTGTTTACCAAGTTTTGAACTTTTTGAAGCCATAATAAGACTGCCACCTCTTACGTTTATGTTAAGAATATTACCTTTTTTGGATAATTGACCAATCTCTAAATGAACTAATGTCTTCCTTTAGTTTAGTTTCCACAAACAATGAGCATTGTATATTATTTTGTTGTATTAGTTATATATTCTTTGTTTTTTCATGTTGAAACTATTGATGTTTGAATACAATAATTTAAGATTGAATGTTAACCCCAGAAATTGATGGATCTTGTTTGATTTGGTATTGAGCTCCTTCTCTTCTCTAGGTTCAGTAGGTGTGCTAGAGTTTGGGTGGTCTAGATCAAACATTAAAACATACAGCCTATTACCAGAAAAAACACAATCTGTATCAATGTTATATAGGTTTATGAATCTTTTTTTTAGTTTTTGTTTAAGATCTTGTCTGTTTGTATATTTTAGATTGTTCATTTTGGTTATGTAAGTGTCCAAAATCAAATCGTGTATTGTGTAAGTGTTATGGATTCTGCTTTCCAGGGCCGTCTTAAGCACCCGGGCAACCGGGCGACCGCCCGGGGCGGCCATTTTTTGGGGGCGGCCGTTTAAGGGGCAGCCATTTTTTTGGGCTTTTATTTTTTCTGCGGCCATTAAAAAAATCAAACAAAAATTGCCACTACATGATTTATTTGCCTACAATTTTTTGCAACATAACTTGTTTATAATATATCGTCGCTGTTCTGACAAAGAGGCGTAAGGGACATTTTTCCATATTGGAGTTAAGTTCACTAAGGGATTTTTTACGGTTGAATCTATGATCTGACAAAAGGAAATACATACATACATACATACATTATGTATGTATGTATGTATGTATTTCCTTTTGTCAGATCATAGATTCAACCGTAAAAAATCACTTAGTGAACTTAACTCCAATATGGAAAAATGTCCCTTATGCCTCTTTGTCAGAACAGCGACGATATACACTAGTGGCCTACAAAAAAAACAAATTAAGGCTGGATAAACAACCTATCCGATCCATATGGTGGTTTAGTTAACAAAAATAATGCAAGTCCGTACACAGAAAATAAAAAACACGATATTCATTAGGATTGCGCGATACTTGTTGCTTGGAAAAATTGTTTGTCTTAAGGCCCAAAAATTAGAGACTTGAAGCTTCAAATTGATTTTTTTTTAACTTCGATACAATTTTTAGCAAAATTTGAAAAATCGCTAAAAATTTGAAATTTTTGTTCGTTTAACTTTTTCCACTAGTGTATATATTATAAACAAGTTATGTTGTTTTTTTTTCCCAAATTTGTATTTTTAAATTTGTGTGCTATATTTGCTATTACTTATGTACCTATGTAGTTATATATCGCTACCTTGGTTTAACATGGTTTTATCAGCCATTTTCTCGAAAATGGGATTTTTGCATAAAAATATTTCTATATTGTACATAGAACCTTTTTATGCAAAAAAATTATTTTTGAGATAATGGCAGATAGAAC